GATTTTTTTAAAATCCAATTTTTGAGCTAGAATGCTCTTCTTCGAACTTGATCTGTCTTTTTATGGCACAAAACGACCCTAAATATCCCAGCTCGCTAGCTCAATTCGTTCTCGAGTTATCGTGCGCACAGACAGACACACAGACGGACAGACAGACAGACGCGAAACTTTTTGATCATCACTGTAGTAATAGGCTTCGCTATCGCTCAGCCAATAAAAATAATAATAATAATAAAGCTTGGTGACCCGTAGCAACACAGAATAGAAAAATGAAGTGCCAGGTGGCAGATAACACAATCACGCATCTTTGCCCCTATCGTCAACCACGCCTCTCCAAAATCGAACTTCAACTGCAATGACGAAGGGAAGTACGCCGTTACTGTAATGCCGTTTTCTCGTTTCGAGATAAGGTAGAAGGATCGGGCTGTCCTTATCGGCTATGCATTTCCGGCTCAATGAAGGCTATCGCAGATCGCGGCCGGGGCGTGGCAGGAGGTGGCAGGTTGGGGCATGGCGAGGCGGACCTATGCAAATCTGTGGCGGTCCCGTTCCAGGTGTAGAGCTATGCGCGAATCGGCATGGCAAATTTATAGGGGTCGAGTTTTGCGAACACCTTCGATTTAATGATGGTCGAACCTGTTTTGGTGCTCACTATTACTTTGTTTTGTCACGAACTGTTTTAAAAAGGTTGCTTTAGGACCCTTAGTTGGTCATCCTGAAAGCCCAGACTCATATTTGCCAGTTTCACTGCATTTTATATGGATTTAGTCTTAAATACCCTAACATATCTCGATCTCTCGCAATAAGCATTCCAGCTGGTCTAGAATATGACGTTTACTCGTCTTTTTCACTTATTCTGCTTGAAAACTACCGCTGAGTGTGTTACTGGTCGGTTTCTTAATTAATAGTTTCATTTGATCCGAATGTGTATTTCGAATCAGGCAATAATTCAAAGACCCCGTGGACTTGGGGACCTAAATCCACTTACCTACTTTGGCGCTCCAGGTAACACCGCTTAAGTCGCTTTTTCACCGAAAACGCAATATTGGTCTTCAAAATCGCTCTCGTCAAACGAAAGCTACATCTTTTAAGAGTAAATGAGCATTTTTGTCGTTGCCGTAGGTCTATCCGTTGTCGCGCAATCCTGCACACGGTAAAGGCCCGTAACCCTCCACTTCGAGACAAAGAAGAGCATGTTCCCGGAGAAGCAGGCAGACGTTGTATACGTCAAAACGTAGCTTAACACTTGCTCTTTCTAAATATCGTTCGTTGAAAGCACTACGATTCTTCGTTTTCTTGTAGTTGTTACTATTTTTCCAAACCCTTGCGTTTCACAGGTATGCCCTCTTAAGGAAGATCTGACCTTTCAGTCCCTTTCTATGTGATTGTTGAAACGTGTGTACTTGGGTATAGGATGGGAATAGAAAAATCTGATTCGACATAGGTTCAGTCGTTCTTGATAAACTAGCACAAACGCGGATTTTTACTGGAGCACCTAACAGCGAAATAATTCGTGTAGAGGAGCCACAGTTTTACTGTGGAGGCAAGAATTTTTTGCTGAGCGGCTACAAATTTCATTGATTTAAAATTTAAAAACAAACACAAACAGCCACCAATAATATCTTGGCAAATTTATTTTATCAGCTTTTGAGAAACAACAGCCAGAATCTATTTAAAGAACAGCCACTCGTCGCTCGTCTTTCTGTAGCGGGTAAAACAACAACGGAGAAGAAAAAGAGATAAAAAATGACAAGGCGTAAATGAATTAAGCAGCCTAATTGGTAAGTCGGGCAGGAGAGAGGTGGCAAGAGCAGCCCCTGCTGCATCGGCGTAGCCTTCCAACATCCTGAGGGAACCACCCCGTCCCGCCGCCCCGCACCTCGACGCCACGGCTTGCTTTGTGTTCACTCGGCGGCGCGCACGCGCCCTGGCGTGCGACAGACGAGATTGGCCGCGTCAATATGATTGGGAAGCATCTTTTTTTTACAAGAAAAGAAAGTGGAGGGAGAAAAAAGGAATAAAGAGGTTGGAAAGGGGGCCATCCGTGAAAGGCGGATATTCCAGCCAGCCGCCTTGTGAGCTGACAGTGTCAGCTAGGCCAATCGTATAGTATGAGGCTCAGGAGGTTGCTCCTCAACGTCACAGGGTTCACAAATATCTGCATGAGATGCAGGGGCAGGTTCTCTTAACTGGAGAGCGCCCTGGATCGCGGTGAAGCGACCAGCGCTGCCGATCACTCAGTTCCCCCTCTACTGACCGCATCCGAAGCAGAAGCATGGGGGGGGGG